TAGAGCAAAGAGCAGGAGGAACTCATTGGGGGCTTTCGTAGTGAAACTAGTATAGTAAAGGAATTCTCACGGTGGAAGATGGAACCTGGGAGAGAGGCAGGAACCTATAGTTTTAGGCTCTAAGAGGAGACAAAGAAGGGAAAGGCAGTAACTTGGTGGGGGAGAAGGGATTGAGGAGGAGGAAGGGCTTAATAGATGAGCAGGATATTACCCAGGTCAGATGTTTTCACCAACTATAGGTGAAATAGCTCTATGAGGCAACTAGCTGGTACAGTGGATAGAAAGCTGGCCTTCAATCAGGAAGACCTGAGTTTGAATCCTGTCTCAGATACTTATCACTGTATGCGACCTTGGAGAAATCCCTCAGTCTCTCTTTTCTCCACTGTAAAATGTGGATTAATAACTATCTCACCTATTTCACAGGGTTATTGAGGGTATCAGACAGCATAATTGTAATGTGCTATGCAAAACTTAAACACCATGTAAACGTTAATGTCAAGAAAGAAGTCTTACCCTGTACCTTCCAGTTCAACTAATACAGTCACACAAAGCCTTGAGTACAATCACAAGGCATCAGATGTAAGGGGTAGTCACAGACAAGCTTTCAGTGTTTTGTTACAAATATTTACCTTGAGCCATGCAATGTGAGATGTCCCATGAAAGATGTTTCTTGTACATTTGTGCACAGGGTAATCAACAAGCATTTATTAAGCACCTACTATATGCCTGGCACTGGGCTAGATGCTGGGGAACAAAAACGAAACAAAGAACTTATACTCCATTGGAGGAAAATATATGTACATATATATGTATATATGTAACACAAACTATACACCCAGTAAACAAAAAAAATTACAGAGAACCAAGGGAAGACTAGCAAGCGGAGAGGTCAGGATAAGGAAAGGCCTCTGCAGGAGGCATGGCTTAACCTGAATGTGAAAGAAGCTAGGGATTTTAGGACAAAGAGTGGAAAAGAGAATGTAATTGAGATGTAAATGTCAGCCTGGCAAAGGCGTAGAGATAACAGGTGGAATATTATGTATGTCCAACAGCAACTGGGCCAGCTTAATCAAACCAACTTCACTAACTTTTTTTTTGTTTTTGGCCTCCCCAAAGAGAAGCCGAGAGGCCCCTTTCCATTACCTAAAACTTCCTTTTGTGTTCTGGCTTTGTTATAGCATGAATGTCAAGGCCAATACCATTCAGCTCCTCCAACAGTATGACCACTTACTGGTCATTGGACAAAGAGCTCACATTTAGAATATCCACAGCCAAGTTCAAGGTTCCCCACCCCTGTTACACACTATCAAAAATGGTGAGATTCTTAGCACCCTTTGCCCTCTTATCTGGCCCTCTGCCCCTTGGCTCCAGAGCTAGAGGGGGCTGAACAGGATGGAGGACCATGCTGTCTTTTTCTTTGTCCTATGGGCTTCCAAAGAACTTATCATCAGCTTACTAATACTGAACCTCTTTCAGTTCCTATGGGGAAAATTAGCTTTTTCTTTTGAATTTAGTACAACTGTGCCTCACTTAACACAACAGATGTGCTACAGAGAAGACGTGTACAGATTACATATTTTTCATAAACTGCGTCACATTGTACAGACAGACCCTTGACTAGCAGAGTTCATTACTTCTATGAAAACATGATTTTAGAGAAGCAATTCTTAATCATTTTGTGCCATGGACCCCTCTAGCAATCTGGTGAAGCCAGTAGACCCATTTTCAGAGTGATGTTTTTAAATATATAAAATAAAATGCATAGGGTTCAAAAGGAAATCAATTCTATTAATATGTCATGTGTGAGTTATATATACATATATCTTATATAACTATTAAAGTAGTTTTATATATCTTTACAGTTTTATGTATAACCTATATAAATGTAATACATACATATACCACATATGGTAAATATGTATATACAAATGAGTTCACAGACCTGAGGGTAAGAACTGTACCTTAAAGAAAAAAAATGTATAAGGGACAGTTTTTCCATAAGAACCCTGCCTAAAGGGTTGGTTTTGGAGTTTGGATTATGTCAGAATTTGGTTATGATATGTTGATAGCACCTAATATACTAGCTTGAACACTTAATGTGTCTGTTGAATCTCATACTGTATATAAAGATAAGGTCAAAAGGATATACATGATTTACACATAAAGGATGATATCATAAGCAAATTAAGAGAGCATGAAATAGCTTATCTGGTTAGATATGTGGATAAGGAAAAAATTTAGGACCAAAGAAAATACAGAGAGCATTACAAAATGTAAAATAGATAATTCTGATTGATTATATAAAATTAAAAAGGTTTTGCAAGAACAAAACCAATGCAACCAAAATTATAAGGAAAGCAGAAAACTGGGGGGAAACTTTTGCCACAAGTATCTCTGATAAAGACCTCATTTCTCAAATAGGTTGAGAACCGAGTCAAATTTATAAAAATACAAGTCATTCCTCAATTGATAAATGGTCAAAGGATATGAATAGGCAGTTTTTAGACAAAGAAATCAAAGCTATCTATAGTTATATGAAAAAAAATGCTCTAAATCACTATTGATCAGAGAAATGCAAATTAAAACAACTGCAAGGTACTACCTCACACCTAGCAGAGTGACCAACATGACAAAAAAGGAAAATGTTAGATGTTGGAGGGGATACAGGAAAACTGGAACACTAATGCACTGTTGGTGGAGCTGTGAACTGATCCAACCATCCTGGAGAGCAATTTGGAACTATGCCCAAAGGGCTATAAAACTGTGCATATTCTTTGATCCAGCAATATCACTGCTAGGTCTATATCCTGAAGACATCCAAAAAAAGGGAAAGGACCAATTTGTACAAAACTATTTATAGCAGCTCTTTCTCTGGTGGCCAAGAAGTGGAAATCAAAGGGATGCCCATCAATTGGGAAATGGCTAAACAAGCTGTGGTATATGACTGTAATGGAATATTATTGCGCTGTAACAAGCAGAATGATTTCAGAAAAATCTGTAAAGACTTACAGGAACTGATGCATAGTGAAGTGAACAGAACCAGGAGAACAGCACACATTAACAGCAATATTGTTGGATGAAGAATTGTGAATGACTTAGCTATTCTCAGCAATACAATGATCCAAGACAATCCCAAAGAATGAAGCAGACTACCCACCCCTAGAAAAAGAACTAACACTGATTGAATACATACTGAAGCATGCTATTTTTCACTCTTTAATTTTTTTTCTTTTATTCAAGTCTTCTTGTACAAAATGACTAATATGGAAATGTTTTACATAATTGCACATATATAACCTATATCTGATTGCTTACCATTTCAGAGAGGGTGGTGGGGAGGGAAGGATAGAATTTGGAGCTCAAAACTTTAAATAAAAATGTTTTTAAAATTTTAGAAAAACATACGTCAGTTGAATCATTGGTCAGGGCATCAGAGTGTATCATCAGAAAGGATGCTGGGCTTGGGGTCAGAAGAGAACTAGCTTCAAATCTAGCCTCCCTAGCTTGACAACCATGAGCAACTCACTTAATGTCTCTGAGCCTCAGTTTCCTCATCCATAAAATGAGAATAGTCCATACTACTCACCTCAAAGAGTTGTGAGGGAATATGGTCATACAAATGTGAATTATAACCATTTATATAACTGCAATGTGGCTTTGTTTTACACAAGTGTCGATCACTTAGCATGGACACCCATAAGGGAAATGCCAGGAACGTACTTCTGGAAGACGACAATCTTGTCCTCCTAGCATGTAGATAAGAAAAGCCTCTTTCCTTGAATTGTAGCTGGAATAGGCTGCATCTTGAAAATTCCCACATCCAGCCTGGGGCAATTTCTCTCTCTTTCGTCTACTTCCAAGAGGAGTGCTTCTTCCACGTGCTTAGTACAGTGTTTGGTATATAGCAGGCATTTAATAAATGTTTATTGACTGCCTGACTAATGCTAAAGATCTCTCACAGCCTATACACCTTGGATTCTCAGAGCTTCCCAGCTGACCTGTCTGCACATACAGCCTGGAATCCTGACTAAGCGGTCCCTAAGCTTAGAGTCTGAGTCCAGGGAGATTCCACGCCTTGTGCCTGGAATTGAATAGGACAAATGGAACAACAAAACCACAAGCCTGTTTGTCAGAGCCACAGGACCCAAAAGGAGGGAAGGAAAGATATTCCTTCCTCTCATCCAGCTCAGTTTGTGGTCCTTATGCTGTGGATGAACAGGACCTTTACCTCCCTTGGACGCACCTAGAAAGAAAGAGTGTCTCAGTCTGGTAGTTTTGAAGACCCAAGACTGTTCCAGCTACATTGTCAGTGGGAAAAGGCTGTTCCAACCTATTTGGTAAGGAAATGCAAAACATTTTCTCCTAAAGCAGGTCCCTTACCCTGGGTATGCCTATAAACAAACCAGAGGACCTAGCTATTTAATTGCAGTTGAATGTAAATTCCTTGAAGGTAGAAACTACAGTTATTCCTTCCATATCATGGAGGTTAAGGGTGCAGTGCACTCCCCATCTGGAAAATCTGCATAAAATGTTTTGGCCCTCCTTTTGTACCAGAGAAGTCTGAATTATTATGTTATCGAAATGTAAAATATGTTGATATTATATAATACGATGCATATATTATGCATTTCTGAGTTTCTAAACTTTTTCTGTATGTCTGCTAGACTTTGCATGTCATCTGTGGTTCCATAAAACCAAAACATTCCCATTAATTTTTTTATGCCAACCTGTGATAGTCAGGATGTGGAAGGGATAACTGTAGTTGGCTTTTGTCTTTGTATTCCCAACATCTAGGATAGTGCACTGTCCATCATAGGTGTTTAATAACTGTTTCTTAAATGAAAGGATGAATGCTTCATCAAGTGAAAAAAATCTCTTCCAATCTGCACAAAAATCTAGACTTTTAAAAATAGAATAAGCCTTCATAAAGCACAATGTATATTTGTTGGCTTAGGATTTGTTTTGCTATTACTTACCCCACTATTTGTGTCCTTCCCTAGGTAGTCTCAAAGAGGAATGTTCTTATGTCCTGGAAGAGGCTAGTCATTCCACGTGTCATTTTTCTTCTGTGAAGTAAACCGGGAGAGTTAAGGTTGTGTCTTAATGTCTTTCAATCAATAATTTAAAAAAAATATTTCAAGCACAAATATTCACCTTTTACATCAAATTTTTCCCACCCAGGCCTCTATCCACTATGTCTTTCATAAGACTACGAGAATTCAAGGATCGCAAGCCTATCCAGCATCCCAGGTAAAGTACTTACTGGTATAGGTGCATCTTCCTAATGCCCTATTTGAAATGAGCAGATGCACACCAGAGGAATCATACAGATGATTCCCAACTGCTTAGTTGGAATTAGTTGTTGCTGGAAATGCCAATAGTGGGGCTTCCTGGATGGCTGGCAGAGTTTCATGGAAGCTCTATGAATGGTCAAGCTATTAGTTCTGCTCATTGAGTTCCCCAAATCCTTCCACTTTGAATGGCTATTGTTCTGGCCTCAGGAGAGCCACAACTGGAAATTTGGAGCTCCCTACCCCCATTACCTCTTGCCATTTGTTAATCACAAAATAAATAGGGGTCTAATTCTTCTACTATTTTTTTTTCTTGAGAAATTTTGAAAGAAAGACTAAAGAAGACTCTTGCATTTTTCCCAGGCAGGCCAGAGTCACAGCATTAATTAACCCTCAATAAATCAAGTACGTTCATTAAGTGGGTGAGCTTAAAAGGGATAAGTATTATAGAACCCCTGTAATACTCTCTAGATATTTCATAGTTATAAAGTAAGCCTTTGCTTTGTAGTTAGATTAGAAAGGCCATAGTCACTATACTAATGCCTTCAGTTTGGACTCCTATGGATGCTTCAGCCGAGATTCTAAGTCTCACAGTGACTACATAGGCTTCAGTATTTCTCTATTGCTGCTAAAATCAAATACAAATTTCTTAGCATGGCATTCAAAGCTCTTCATATTCTGGCTCCAGCCTAACTTTTCAGGTTTATGACATATTATTCCCTTTCTACACTCTGTGTTCAGCTAAACTGTTCTACTTGCCTCTTTTGGAAGAGATGTATCACTACAGAAAAATATATTTGTTGTATTTCTTTTTCAAAAATCAAATCACATTTTATAGGAACATCCTACCTAGCAGAGGTGATTGCTTCTATAAGAACATAACTTAAGAGCATTCCAGCTGCTGACTCTATGCCTTTGTCCCATGGGGGACAGCATAGGGCATCTCCTCATGAGGCCTTTGGGTCAGGTAACTTCAGCTCATTAAGTCTTCTCTCATTACATCCATAATCTTGGAAACTCCAGTCACTATTGGCCTTTTTCATTTTGTTCTTTCCAAAATAGTCATCATTGTCTTTGGAAGAGAAAATATCATTGTCCTATCAGCCTGAGCTGTGGTCCTATTCCTTCTCTTAGGTTTCTTTCCCCCAAATAGGTACAAAGCCTGCTATTTCCTTTAGCTTTTTTCCCCAGACTCCACTCATTCTGAGCTCTAGCACTGCTGATACTGTTCTTACAGGGTTTTCCATATTCATCCCCTATTACCTTCTCTCTTCTTTATATAACTTTTAAGTTCTTTGTTGGGGTGGCTTCAGAACAGTAAAAGCACTGCACAATTTCTCAAGGGCAACACAGCCCACTTCACTTCTTCATTTCAGGTTAGGCCCAACTTATCTATCTGTAGCACCTATTCCAGGTATATCAATCTGTCAATAAGCATTTATTAAGCACTTACTATGTACCAGGCCCTGTGTTAAGAGAGATATGGAGGAGGGGAGATGAGGGAGCACATTCCAGAGAGGCTCAATCCTCTCAATATTTTAAGAGCTGAAATCATTTGATTAGGCTGTATGGGTGGTGGGGAAGGGTTGGGGTTGAGATGGGTTACATTTATAAACATTCAATTAATGACACCATAGTGTCCCATGAAAGGCATATCATATTTCTATGGAGCATTTTTACTCCACAGATTCTTGATTCATAATCAGAGCTGTGCCTAGGTAATACTGTGCATAGGTGACATTGTTCCTTGTTCAATCATTTAGTTGCATTAACAGGGCATTTAGGTGGCTAAGGCAGGTGGGAGGGCAGATGGGCTGGAGCTGCTGGCCCCATTGATGCAGTGGCCTGTGCATCCCCTGGCCCAGCCACGGAGCCCAGGCCACACCACCATCTGCAAAGGTTGGTTCCAGGAGACATGCAGCTTTTGGCCCAGCCAGGCCATGCCTCTGCAAGTGGAAGAGATGTTCCAGCGCTCCAGCTATGAGGATATCCCAGTCTTCCATAGTAAGACCTACAGCAACGTCCTGATGCTGGACGGAGTCATCCAGTGCACAGAGAGGGATGAATTCTCATACCAGATGATTACCAACCTGCCCCTCTGCAGCTGGCACAGCCCAAGAAAGGTGCTAATCATTGGTGGTGGGTACTGGGGTGCCCTTCGGGAAATGGTGAAGCATCAGTCCATGGAGTCTGTGGTCCAGTGTGAGACTGACAAGGATGTGACCCAAATCTCTAAGAAATATTTATGAGGGCATGGCCATGAGCTACTCTAGAAGCTGACCTTCCATATTAGAGATGGATTTGAATTCATGCAGCAGAACCAGGATGCCTTTGATGTCATCATCACTGACTCGTCAGTCTCCACGAGTCCTGCCAAGGTTTGTTCAGTCGTATTACCAGCTGACAAAGACAGCACTGAAAGATGACGGGATCCTCTGCTATCAAAGTGAGTGCCTCATCAAGGAGGTGTGTCGCTTCTGCAAGCCTCTGTTCCCTGTTGTGGAATATGCCTACTGCACCATACCCACTTACCCCAGCAGCCAGATTGGCTTCATGCTCTGCAGTAAAACCCTGACCCCTAACTTCCAGGAACCAGTGCAGCAGCTGATGCAGGAGCAAGTACAGAAAATGAACCTCAGATATTACAATTTGGATGCCCACCATGCAGCCTTCGTGCTGCCCAAGTTTGCCTGCATAGACCTGAGCAATGTGTGAGGAGACCACTATGCCTACTTTGGCCTCTCCTAGACACAAGTCACAAGCACCCATTCCTTCTTCCTTTTTTGAGGGCATCAACTGGCACTCAGCACCCCCTACCAACTGAGGAACTGCCCCTCACCAGCCATCCTGCCCATTGACCAAGTATTACTGAACCCAGGAAATGACCAAGGGGCTCCCTGTGCCATGCTCTGCTGGGTGGGAGGGGGGGAGAATAAAAGATGTCTGTCTGTCCATCTCTGTCTCTGTCAAGTCTGGTCACTTAGCCATCTATTAATATTGATCATCTGCATACAGAATGAGCCTTCTCACCTCTAAGTATCTATAACTATAGAAAAAAAAAACAGTGCATTTAGCCAACTGGAGACATGGCTTTCAATAAAGTTCTCGTTTGTCATACCCTCTTAGAAACAAGCATAAAAAACCAAGAATAAAAACAACTTTCCTTTTTTTTGTTTTTAAAATATTTTTATTTACTCTCTTTAAAAAAAAAAGTCACTTGCTAATGATCCCCTCCACCTACTATCTATATCATCCTTCTTCCAGTAAATAGCTACAGTCAAGCCAAATAAATCATCATACTACCTCTTATCTAAAAATGTATGCCTCATTGATACTGATAGTCCACCCTCTGCTGATTATGAGATTGGAAGTCTAAAGTCAAAACTGATCAGTGCAATGATCAGAATTCTGAAGTTTTTCAATGTTGAAAAAATAACTTTCTTGAGAGGGCCATTTCAATGTCATGTGGATTTTAAAGATAATTACAGTGCATAATCAGAACCTTTTTGAGCCTTCTTCAGACACTCAGGCTGCTAGACTGTTTGCTCAAGGTCTCTAGTCTTATGGAGGTTATGATTCACATAAGCAGGGTTTTGGTTCCAACGGAAGCTGTCAGTTTCCTCTTTTCTGTATTTGTAAATGTCATCTATTCCCTACCATTATTCCACTTCACCTCCTGTCCTATGACTAAATTCTCACTGCTGCTTATACACTTAGGATCCTATTATACGATTCCAACCAGTAGGCAGGCTCAGACTTCCTGAGGTTGCTTGGAAAACCAGAACTCCTCTATGCTTCTATTTATACAGGCAAGCCCTTTATATACACTGTCTTGCACTCTCTACTCTAGTTTGGACATTACCTTATCAACATGATGCCCACTCCCACTTCCATGTCTTTCCTCATGCAGGTTTTCTTGCCTGAAATACTCTCTCTTATCCCTTTTGGCTTTTCATGTCTTACTCATCCTGGAGCAACAAAAAGAGGGCTAGATTTAGAGTCAGAAGAACTGAGTCTAAATTCCTAGCAATGCTATTCATTACTTTTGGTCAAGTTGCTTAACTTCTCCAGGCCTTGGTTTCTTCATCTGTAAAATAACATTGGATGAGATAATCTGTTGGATGACTTCCATCACTAAATCTATGATCTCATGATTAATCTCTCAAAGCTAGCTCAAACACCACCACTTCCATGAAACTTCCCCACTTTGTTGGTCTCATTCATTTATTCAGTCAACAAATATTTATTGAACTGTTACACAAAGTGCTGTATTGGATGAGTTGGAATTTGCCACTTCTAACCTATTATATTTATATTTCTTTTGTTTTGACATCACCTTCATTCCAGAATATATTCATCCTACTTTTCCTACTAAGCAAACTATCCTTTGTAACAATTTTTTTTTAAAAAGTCATTAAATTTTTGAGCAAAATCAGCCATATGACAACTTATGCAATACACAGCACCAATACTCCCCTACCCCTCTGCCTCTGCAAAAAAGAGAGAAAAATTAATTTTCTGAACTCTTCTCCAGGGTCAAGCTTCTTGGTCATTATAATAACAGTATTCTCTTTCTTTCTTTTCTTCTTTCTGTCTTTCCTTCCTTTTTGCTATTGTTTTTTCCATTTGCATTTTAGTAATCAATGTGTATATTGCTTTCCTGGTTCTGCTTGCTTCACTTTGTATCAGTTTGTATGTATTGAGATGCTTCTCTGAATTCTTCATACTCAAATGGTTTGAGATCTCATTAATTCAGGAATTCCATTCAATGATCAAAATCATACCAATTTATACCTTTCCATTCTATGTGATTTTTGTGCATGTTCTCCTCAAAGTTCACCGCGTAGGGTCCACCTAACAGATTAGAGGCCTTCTTAGATTTCTCCCAACATTGCTAGGGCACAAGCAGAGCACTCTGTTTATCATTCTTACCTGTCATCCTTCACTCTTGCCATGTGACCAGTCCATCTTCTCTTCCTGTCATCCAATTCCTGGATAATAGCTTTTATTCCTGTTCTTCAGAGTTCCTCATCTCTTACGTACTGCAATATGCTTACACCCACCATGGGCCTCTTCATTGTTCTTTGTGAGACATTCATCTATAGCTTTTCACAGATAGTAGTGTTCCACTTCTTGCTGCCATGTGGCCATGATGGTAAAACAGTAGTATTGAAAATATGGGTCATTGCTTTCATAGGAAGCCTCAGGGAGTGGGGAGAGGTCAGTAAAAGAACTGTGTAATTTTTTAAAGTCAACTAGTCTACTCCTTTTTTTTTAACTCTGTGCCCAGTTCATTGTTCATCTACACTGTCTGTCCCAAATCTATATACCATTCAATAAGTGCTCTAAGGTGTCCATCCAAATGTGCATTGAAATTCAAGCAACAGATACTCTTCTCCACTGAGTCTTTCTTCTGTGAATGGTCAAGCCAAAGTCCTTTTAGTGATCAAAGTTCTCTCCCAAGTGGCTTTGCAATATCCTAGGGCTTTCTGAAATCAACAGCGGCACACGCTCATAAGAGCATCTGAAGGACCTCAGCATCCATAGGGAATCCTTCTTTGAATAGGACTCTGTTCTAGAGCTCCTCTATCTCAGGGCCAAATGACTTTGGTGAGCATTCATTTCCTTTCTTTGTGTTTTACTCAATGCTTATTGTCAGTTTTTGAAGAGGTTGTTTCTGTTGTTAAATATTCCAACGAATCCTGAATGATCTTGATTATGGATGGGAGACACTTTGCTGTAAAAGAGTCCATGAGGTGGGATTTTGTTCTGCTGAATCAAATGCTTTTTCATAATCAACAAACAATAAGCATAGTGGGATTAATAATTTCTACATCTTTCAGTTGTTGGAGGTTGATATGATCCATTGTTGAATGTCTCTTGAAAAATCCTGTTTTCCCCTACTAATTATGTTATTAAGGATATTCTTATGATATAACTCTCATGAAGAAAATGGGAGAGTAGGTAGGTTTGGTAGTGTGACAAAATTGTCCCAAGAGTCTGCTGACAAGTGCTGCTGCTAATCAACAATGAGCACTGCAGAGATAGGAAAGAACTGGTTTTACTATGCTCAGAGCATAGGTTGCACTGAAAACTTAGCAATCACTCAGCCTAGAGTATCAGTTTCAGCAACCTTATATAGAATGTGAGGACATTAAGCAGAATGGATACAATGGAATTTTACAAACAGTAGAAGGGAAGGGAAAGTTTTACACATCAGGAAACAAACAACAGAAAGGGGAAGATGGGAATACCTGTATCAGGAAGGTCATGGAACTAGCTGGTAAAACCTGGAGCTATTATTTGTGTCTCAAGCTTGATGTTTTGCAAACTTCAGTAGGAGAAATGACCTGCCTCCTTCAAGTGAACAAGGTCAGGAAGCTCAAGATAGATTCTGTGGCTGACTTTTTCTTAGCACAGTTGCAAAAAAGCCTGAGCCAGAAATTCATTTATTACAGTAGTTATTGACATTCTTTCCGTCACCTTTTTTTGGGGGGGTCAAAGATTTTTCCCCACTTTTGGCAACTTCCCTTCCTTCAAAGTCTTGTATTTTGGTCCCTTAATCCATTTACAATTGTACTGCCTCTGGCATGGATCTTCTCTACATATACTGGATCTAACTATTCTACCTCTTCTACAAGCACATTAGGGACTGTGAGGATAGAGTCCAAGTACAAAGATTCTACTAGCCTTGAGGGAGAAAACAGTTTGTCAATATAATTTTTATGAATCTTTTCCATTTTTCATCCTTGAAGATATTTGCCAACCTGATGGGTGTAACACAGAACCTCAGAGTTGCTTTCATTTGCATTTCTCTTATTAATGACTTGTGGTATTCTTTTCATATTGTTTTGCTAAATTGCCTTGTTTTATATACTCAAAATTGTTCATTTTCTTCTGTAATCATCTCTGTCTTGCTTGGTCAAGAACTCTCTCCTTCCCACAGTTCTGAAAAAATCTCCCTGCCACTCGAATTTGTTTGTGATGTTGCTTTTTTATATTTGTTATGTATCTATTTGGAGTTATTGTGGTATGTGGTGTGAGATGTTGGTTTAAACTTGATTTTTGCTAGATTATTTCCAGTTTTTGTCACATAATGAGTCCTTACCCAATATTTGGTGTCTTTGAATTTATCAAACACTAAGTTACTGTTTGGGTGCTTATGAATCTTGCACATCTCTCTGTTCCACTATTCAGCTTTTCTATTTTTAACCAGTGCCAAATAGCTTTTATGATTATTGCTTTGTAATATTGTTTGAGATTTCATACTGCTAGGCCCACCACTTGCCCGCTTTTTTTTCATGATTTTCCATGAGATTCTTGACCTTTTATTCCTCCAGATGAATTTTGTTACAATTTGTTTCTGAAATTACCAATTGATTTATGAAATTAATAATTGTGGCCAAGGGAATAGGACTACAAGAGGGTCCTCTGTGTCAAGTAGGGGGCAAGTATGCTCAGTTCTTTGCATACTCTCCAGGAAAAACCATAATGTCAGCAATTAGAGAGTAATGTTTCAATCACCCTTTAACAAAGTACAGAGAATACAGAGGCAAACAGCACAGGGGTGCAGAAGTAGATGGAACAGGGGGTGGAGTGGTAGAGGAAGTCAGGCAGCATGGGGAACAGAATGGGAATGAGAAAGGGCACAGACAATCAAATAACCATGGATCAGAGTTGGGAGCACTCAGGATGCATAGAACTGTAGCAAATGGAAGCGTGCTCAAAAGAGCAGGAGTTTGGGGTCTCATTTTTATAGGATTTTGGTGGTGAAGGGACTATCCATGCCACCTTAAGGTTAGTTCATTAACATATACACATCATCTCAAAGTTACCTGCAACACCTTAGGGTTAATTCATTAGCATAATATTTGCTGGTGTTCTGCTGATCTTACTAGGGTTTATCTGAAGCTTACATGGGCATCTGGCAGGATTGAAGATCCATTACAGTAAAGCCTAGCTGGCTTCCCCTCATTTCGCACATAGTCTCAAGATGTGACCTTAGTTAATGTATGAGAGTTTCCAGTGGCTCCTATGCTCCCTAATCTATGAGAAGTTTGCAGGTAACTGTTGTGCTCCCTTAATTTATGGGACAATCTGTTAGAGACTTCTAGGTTCCTTTTTGCAATCTTACTTTCTACTATTATTACTTTATGCTAGCTATTTATAACTCACTACATCAGTTAGAAGGGGTGTGGAGGAGGGAAGTAAGTGGTCAGGGGGATCAGAAGAAGGTATAATTTTTACACAGTCCTGTGCCATAGTGTAACCCATTGGTAGTTTGGTTGGTATGACACTGAATCTGTAAATTAATGTAGGTAGTAATGGCATTTTTATTAGCAGCAATTAATATCTTTCTAATTATTCAAGTTTTCTTTCATTTCTATAAAGAATATGCTTTTCAGATTCCCAAGAGTTCTTGTCAAATAGGGAGAATCTTCTTTGTGTTCTCAGGTTTATCAGACCCTTGATTATGAGAAATTGGTCCTTGCCCTCAAAAAGCTTGCCATTCAATAGGAATCTGCAGTCTAGTAAGGAGTTTGCGATCTAGTTTTTTTTTGTTGTTATTTATGCCTCTCTAATGAAATTGTAAATTCCATGAAGGCACAGGATATGTTCTAAAAGTACATGGTGGTTAACTGATCAATTTACACTTAAAACTAGTCAGCTTTCACACCACTTCAGCTCACTTTTTTTTTCAGCCAAAGACAAGGTTTATTAGAACATCCATCATATTGGGCAGGCTCTTAAGGAGTTTGAACACTAGTAAGCTATTGGCTAAATTGTAAGAATCTGAGCAGTGGCTAGATTATAAGAATCTGAGCACCTTAACGGAGACAAGATGGACCTTATATACAGAAAGACTGTGGGAGGGATCTAGGAGTGGCCAAGTAGTTTGCAGGGACAGTGGGGCAATAGAATGCCAGGGACGTGGACCATGTGGCCTGGGGAGAATGGAGCCTAGATAGAATTAGGGTGGGAAGTGGCCAGGGTCCATAGGGAGGTAAGACAATTTCACATTTATTAAATAGTTACAATGACTTCTTTGAAAATTTTATTTTTAAATAAAACACGAATCTAAGAAATATTTTGGGGGAAAAAAAAGCTTTTAAAGTGTATCTTTAGCATGAATCCTTTCTAATCTTTCATTTTTCCAGCTAGCTCTTCATGTTGATCCTTTCCCCTGACAGTGTAGCATTTGGATAGAATACTAGCGTTAGATCCAGGCATATCTGAGTTCAAACCTTGCCTATAACATTTATTTCCTGTGTAACTCTGGCAAGTCACTTATTCACTCTCAGCCTCAGTTTTGCCATCTGTAAAATGGGAACAAAAATAAGGGTAGCACTTACCTTAGTATTGTGATTAGGATCAAGCGAGATGATGTATGATGTGATATACAGGGTGTCCCAAAAGTCTTCATCCGGGTTTAAGTTTTGATTCCTCACAACAGCTCTGAGATAATAGCTTAAAACTATTAAATCTTACAACCTCACTAGGACTTTTGGTACACCCTATATAACTACCAAACTTCCCAAACAAAGCTCTTTGCACTAAAAATGGAACTAATTTCTTAAACTAATTATATGACATTCCTCAAAATATTGTTTCTCTGCTAATTCTATGCTTTCTCCCCCTAGATTGTGTATTCTTCATCAAGGAAAGTACATCAATGGATATTATACTGGGCAATTGGCAAAACTCCATTATGCTAAGGAACTTCAGAGACCTCCTGGGTGAGACAAGTTCTTAGTTTGTAATTTCAAAGAAGTTCATGAAAGAAATGCAAGAATTAATTTAGTGCAAGTTTAGAACTACCTAATTTTATTTTGGGCAAATCATTTTCCTTTTTTGGGTCTGAGCGTCTTCATCTGTCAGTGGGTGTTTGTTATCGCATTACTCTAAGTCTAAGACCCTCTTAGCCCTAATGATCTATGATATCAAGAGTAAAGGCTGTCATCCGAGGTCTGCTCTGAAGCATTTGACATTATTGACCTTCCTTTCCTCATAGATATTCTTGTCCCTGCATTTTCCCGATATTACTCTCTCATGGTTCTCTTCCTGTCAAACTGTTAGTCTCCTTTGCATGGACATTATCCATATCCCACTCCCTAGTCATGGGTGTGCCCTAGGGCACTGTCTAGGACTCTCTTCTTTCTTTATATTTTCTTGCTGATCTGATACCCAAATCTACATATCTAGCCTTTAGTTGCCTGCATTGGCACTTCAAACTCAGCATGTTCAGAGTGGAACTAATGACTTTTTTTTTTAACTCAACCTTCTTTCAAATGTTTGTTTGTTTGTTTTTTAATGTCTGTTCAGGACACTACCATCCTTCCAATTATCCAGTATTGAAACCTCAGATTGATCCTCAGTTTTTTATACTTTCTTCAACTATCAACCCCCACATCTAATCACTTGCCAATTTTTGTAGACTTACCTCTACAATCTCTTGTCCAGTCACATGGCCAGTACATTCATTCAGATTTTCACCATCTCTCACTTGGATTATTGTAATGGTCTCCTAATTGGCCTTCCTGTCTCCAAGTTATCCCATCAACATTCTTTCATCCACATAGTTGCCACATGATATAGTTGAAAAAGAACTGAACTGAGAGTTGTGAGACCAAAATTCAAATCCTAGTTCTACCACTCACTACCTATGTGACCTTGCACAAGTAATTTCCCTATCATGCCCTCAGCTTGCTCATCTGTAAAAATGAAGGGTTTGTGCTAGATGACCTCTAAGGTTCTTTTCAACTCTAAATATAATCTGACATTTCTCAAGCCCTGATCTAATCACATTGCTCCCTGGCTCAAGAAACTTCAAAGGCTACCTATTGCCTCTAGTATTAAATGCAAACTCCTTTGTTTGGCATTTAAAATTCTTCACATTTTGGATCCAATCTATCTTTCCAGACTGATTTCATATTTAATCCGTCTCATACTCTCTGTGTTCCAGCCAAACTAACAGATAAGCTGCTCCCCATACATGATATTTCATCTCCCACCTCCATGTCTTTGCACAAGAGGTCCCCCACACTGAGAATGCTTTCCCTCCACACCTTAATCTCTTAGAGTGGCCATCTACAGTCATCTTGCCACCGGACTCAGATGGCTCCAGAGGAGAGAGTGAGGATGGTGACTTTGCACAGCTCTCCCTCACTTAAATCCAATTCACTTGCAAGTCATGGCATCACCTTCCTGATGTCATGGTCCTCTTTGACAATGAAGGACAAACAACAACAACCATCTCTTAAAATCACTCGCTCCTTTTGAGGCTCACGTCAAACTCAACTCACTCAAAGATGTTCACTAAGCTCCATAGCTTTTACTGATCTCACTCCTGTCCCCTCACTACCACTACTACTACTGTTACCACCACTCATTCTTTTGTATGTATAAGTATATATAAATATATGTATGTTATGTGTGTATGTATTTATGCCAGAATTGGGCATGCCTAGCATAGATCCATGTACATAGGAGTACATAAAGCTTATTGAATGAAATGGAACAGAATTTAACTGAGTCACTAAAAACACTGAATCTTCGAAGACTTGATACCTTATTAAAAGTGATGAACCCAACAACTGCTTCTGGGAAGAATGAAAGCTTGTCAGAGGCAGTCTTAGACAAATAGAATGGCTTACCTATATGATATGTGTTCAACAAGCTCCTCCTACTTTCTTTAAGGCATCCCGAAGACTGGAGACCTTATTACCAGCCAAAAAGTTCTTATCAAGTTCAGTTTGACCAAATAACCCTTACCAACTACATTTGTCATCGAAGGAAGGATCAACAACCATTCAAGGGGTGGTACAATGAAACCACTTACCAAAGAGCCTTCTCTTTGCCATTTTACAAATTCGGTAAGTTGAGCCAAGTGCTCAGAATTCTTCTGAATTATATCCTAATCTACCTTTGGGCAAACTGGTCCTTTCTTACCTTAAAGACTAGGTCATAGATTAGCACCTTGCCCTATGGGAAGTATTCAAAGTAGAAGAGGCGGTCTGAAATGGCCAGTGCCTAGATAGGAACTCCTAACCTCTCTCCCCCAATGCCTCAGCGAAGAATTTACCCACCTTCTTATGAATGGAAAGGTCTTCGTGTCTGATTGCTCTGCAGAGAGCCTCATTACCATTTCTAAACTAATTATAGTGTCTGTTAAGGAAAAGGGACTTCAGAAGAGTGTGCTGTTTAATATACACATATATACATATGACATATGTCGAATATATACATAGGACAGTATAAATTCTGAGTTAGAATAATTTTCCAAAAAAAAGCATTTACCAGTATTCTTCCAATTGATAACCTATGACAACTATAATTGTTCTTGCAGGCTCCTAGGTCAGACTAATGCATTTAATCCAAGTTGAGAACAAGGGAAGGGCCCACTTTATACAGTGGTTCGAATCACACCTCTGACACTCACTAGCTATGTAACCATGAGAAAGTCATTCAAGTTTTCTGACTTTCAGTCTCCTCATCTGTGGAATGTAGACAGAAATATCAGCGGTATTTACCTGAAAGGGTTATTGGAAAGATAAGATGAAGTAACGTACCTTAAAACACTGCAAATCTGAATGTACAAAGAATCTTCAATTTCATCCATGTAGGGAATTCTTGATGTGGGAATGGCATTCAAAAAATCAGATTACAACCAGAGATTAAGTGACTTGTCCAGGGTTATAATAATGATAGTAGCTAGCTTTCGAGTGCTGTAATGTTTGCAAGGCATTTTACATAGCTATCTTATTTGATCTTCACAATAACTCTATGAGGTAAGTACAATAATTGTTCCCTTTTTACAGATGAGGAAATTGAGGCTAAGGAAGATTGTAACCCTCCCTGAGTCATAAAACTAGTAAAAATCTGGGGCAAGTCTTCTCAAGTCCATGTCCAGTATGCTTTGCACCAGGCCACATACCCGCCTCAGCTAATAAATTCCAGGGATGGACTTTGACCCCAAATTTTCCTGGTTCCAACCTTGGCATTCTATGCACTACTACATGCTAGTTCTTCACAGACTTTGAAGCATAATATAAACGTCGATTATCATTATTATGATTGGTGGCTTTGTAAAGTGATTTATGCCTTTGCCAGTCAGTCAGCATTAAAGACTTTCTATAGGCCAGATACTGTGCTAAGCACCAGGAATACACAGACAGGCAGATGCAAAGATCCTGCCCTCAAGAAGCATACCTTGTAATGGGGGAAAGAACAGGCAAGTAACAATATCTATATCAGTTATCTGCAGTGCAAATGAAAGTAATCTTGGAAGGAAGACACTAGTAGTTCTGGTTATTTCTGCAGAAGGTGGCATTTGAACTAAGTCTGGAAGGACACCAGGGAAGCTAGGAAGCATAGGCAAGAAAGGAGAACACTCCAGGAGCTGGGCAAGGAGAAAGAGAGAAGCATCAGCATTTATATAGTGTCTGCTATGTGTCAGGCATTGGGCTAAGTGCTTTACAAATAGCATCTCACTTGATACTCCCACAGGTCCTGGGAGATAGGTACTGTTATCATCACTATTTTACAGTTGAGGAAGCTGAGGCAGACTGAGGTTAAGTGAGTTGCCAATCACACAACTGGTGTCTGAGGCTGAATTTGAACTCAGGTCCTCCTGCCTCCACTCCCAGTGCTCTACTACTATGCCACTGGGACAGAGTGATAAGGAAAGAAGACCAGACAGAGACAGCCTTAGAAGACTCATTAGCAGAGACTATTTTTAATTAGTCATTCAAGAGGCAGCTTTGAGGAGGAGGACTGAATATTATCATGCTGGATAGAAACGTGAAGAAAGAGGGATCCTGCCTCTGACATTTACTAGCCATGTGACCTTAGTCAAGTCACTTAACCCGTTCTATGCCTCAGTTTCCTCATCTGTAAAATGGGGCTAATAATATCACTGATATCTATGTCACAGGGTTGTGAGATTCTCAACAGAACAATGTAGTGCTTCACAAATTTTAACATGCTGTATACATATCATTTATTACTAAGACAGTTATTGGACATATACCACTCACAGGAACAGCCCAAGTGTTGGTGACAGGAAGATGTGTAAGACAGAGTAGAAGAGTACAGATCTAAATGGTGAAAGAAAACATACACAATAAGTCAATAACTAAAACTGCAAGCAACATTATATGTTGTTGTTCAGTAGTTTCATTTATGTCTGACTCTTCATGACCTCATCTGGGGTTTTCTTTGCAAAGATACTGGCATGGTTTGCTATTTTCTTTTCCAGCTTATTTTACAGATGAGGAAACTGAGGCAGAGTTAAGTGACTTGCCCGGGGTCACATAGCTAGTAAGTGTCTGAGGCCAGATTTGAACTGAGAAAGAGGAGTCTTCCTGACTCTGGACCCAACCTTTAATCACTGCACCACCTAGCTGCTCTCAACAAGCAATATGATAGAGAACAGATGTTTACTTGTGCCCATACTCAACACTGCCCCTTAAGGACCCATGTTTAGCCTGAGGTGCCTGCATTTTCTGCATCAGTCAAGCAAGAGACTGACTGGAGGTCCTAAAGATCATGTAAGAAAAGGCTTTGAGGGGCAGCTAGGTGGCACAGTGGATAAAGCACCGGCCCTGGAGTCAGGAGGACCTAAGTTCAAAACTGGCCTCAGACACTTGAGACTCACTAGCTGTGTGACCTTGTGCAAGTCACCTAACCCCATTGCCTAGCAAAGGAAAAGAAAAGGCTTTCATCAGAAGGAAAAGAAAAGAGATGATGACAGGGCACAGACAGTAGAAAAGAAACAGCCAGGTGCAGGGGAGTCAAATTGAAAGGGTATGGCAAAGGGAAAAGAATAAGCATTTATGTAAGCATGGTCGGCACTCTAAACATATTATCTCTTTTGATCCTCACAACAGCCCCATGAAGTAGGTGCTATTATAATGCTCATTATACAGTTGATGAAACTGAGGTAGGCTGACGTTAAGTGACTTGCCCAGGGTCACATAGCTACTAAGTGGCTGAGGCCAGATTTGAACTCAGTTCTTCCTGACTCCAGGTCCAGTACTCTGTTCACTGTGGCACCTGCTAGCCTGTACAAAAAGCATAATTTTGTTATAGCATTGTTCTTATATAAATTGTTCTGCTCACTTCACTCTGCATCAAGAACTTTTGAAAATATTTTGATAACTATATCTCAAAACAATCCATGTCCTTTATAATCTTATGTATTTTATTTTCTGCATTTAACAACATGATTCTGATGGAGAGTTCAGTCCAATGGGTCCATGACACAAAAAAACGTTAAGAACTCCCCATGCTAGAATAAAGGCTGCGGGGCTTCTAAATCACTACTGTTTAGAGAAATGCAAATTAAAATAGCTCTAAGATATTACCTCACACCTTTCAGATTGGCTAACATGACAGAAAAAGAAAATGAGAAATGCTACAGAGAATATGTGAAAATTAGAACAGCAATGTACTGCTGGTGGCTCAGCTGAGTGATTCAGTGGAATAGATTAGGTACACAACGAACAGTAGCAAATGACCATACTAATCTAGTGTTTGATAAATTCAAACAAAAAGATAAACTTTTGGGACAAAAGTTAGACAGAAGTTGCTGAGAAAACTGGAAAGCAGTTTGACAGAAACTAGGCATAGGCCAACATCTCACACCATTTATCAAGAAAAGGCCATAATGGATAAATGATTTTAGACATAAAGGGTGATATCATAAGGAAACTAGGGGAGCATGGGAAAATGTGCCCTGGGCTTCTTGATTCTAGAGCTGTAATAATGAAGGTTATTAGCTCCTTTTGTGGTGGCAGAGGCTTGGAAATTCAGGGGATGCCCACCAATTGGGGAATGGCTAAACAAGTTGTCGTATATGATTGTGATGGAAGATATTGTGCTCTAAGAATGGTGAGAAGAATGGTTTCAGAAACACTTGGAAAGATTTATATAAATTGATACAAAGTGAAGTGAGCAAATCAGGAGAACATTGTACCTAGTAACAGCAATATTTCATGATGATTAACTGTGAAAGACAGCTACTCTGATCAATACTGACCAATGCAATGATCCAAAACAATTCTGAAGGACTCATATTGAAAAATGCTTTCCACCTTCAGACAGAGAACTGATGGACTCTGAGAGCAGATCGAAGTATATAGTTTTTCACTTTATTTTTCTTGCTTTTTTTTTATTGGCAATATGGCTGATAACAGATTTTTTTTTTTGTCATGACTACATATGTATGGGTGTCATATTGCTTGCCTTCTCAACGGATGGAGGAATGACTGCAGGGAGGGAAAGAAAGAATTTAGAACTCAAAAATTTTAAAATGAATACTAAAAATAAAAAAGTTTAAAAAATGAAGGCTATCATTTATCCAGAACTGTGCGTTCACCACTGTGAAAGAACTATATAGAGGGCTTGATTTTCTTCCTTGTGTCTTTATTTTTTCTTTTTTTTAAAACAAGTTTTTTTTTGTTGGCATCTTTTATTTTTATATTCCCATCATTTACAAATGTATACCTCTTCTCACTTCTACCCAGTAAGACATTTCATCACAGAAAAATAAAAAAGAGAAGATGCCTTTTTTAAGCAGTAAACTAACCAACATATCAACTGAGTGTAACATCTTTATTTTATTTTTAAATTATTTTAGCTTCATTATTTTCCAATTACATGTAAAAAATGTAACAATCATTTCAAATAATTTTAAGTTCCAAATTCTCTCCATCCCTCCCACACCCTCCTTGTTCCTTGAGAAGGCAAGCACTTTGATTTTGATTATGCATGTAAGGTTATGACAAATGTATTTCTATATCCATGTTGCAAAAGAAAACATAAAATAAAACAGCAAAAATAAAGACAGACGAAAAAATTATGCCTCAATTTG